ACTTCCCGCGGTCCACCCCCGGCAGGCGGGCCCCCCCCACCTGTCCGCCTCCCCCTCGCGGCAAGAAGGATTACCGGGGACGACGGGGAGCACTTCTGAGTTCGATTTATTGCGTCCAGACAAGACGCGATAAATCGAACCCAGAAGTTCGATTGCCTGCCGCCGAACCAGCGCGGTAAGTATAGACAAGCCCTAAGTTCTTGACTCTGCCTGACAATTTTAGAAACAAAGATTTTCTTATCTTCCTGCTTTTAGGAGAGAGGGTTTGCTTGTACAACACCAGTGACTGATTAATTCCCCATTACTATAAATATTCTATACTTAAATAGCTTCTTACATTTGTAATTAGTCTAGCATCAAATGATGTTGCTATAGTTGTAAATAACAAATCTTACTATTCATATAACAATATCAAGCCGTTATTAAATGAAGGTTTATATTTAGATACAAATTATTTGCAAATATAAATACTGAAAGAAGCTTATGCCGCCTTAAGCATTTGAGATACAACAAAGGTTTTCACCCTTAAGTGGAAACATGAGTTGGAAATAACCAGTATCGTTGGAAGAGGTTTCCCACCATAAATGTTCTCCAAGTTTAAAGAATGAAAACTTTAGTGTGTTTATTGAAATTTATTGCTTTTGTAACGTTTTCTAGAATTTTATGTGGGTTTAAACTCAGGTTTTTCTTTGAGAAGGGGTTAGAGGGGTTGGTATAGGCCACTTTACCTCTATATTTATTGCTTTGATAACACAACCCTGCATTGCTTTCACAATCAGACTTCTTCCTAAAAGTGTCTTCATGGTTTGTCTGCTTGATGGTTGCTTGTCCTTGGAAGAGAGAAGCAGAAACCTTCTGAAATTTCTCTGAATAGCTTTAACATTTTGTAAGCTAATTAGCTAAGCATATGTATCGTTATCTGTCCAAGCATCCTGGCTATAACATTCTTGTAGCTACACCTCTACCCCAATATAATGCGACCCGATATAACACGAATTCTAATATAATGCGGTACAGCAGCAGCTCCGGAGGGGCGGGGCTGCGCACTCCAGCGGATCAAAGCAAGTTCGAGATAACGCGGTAAGATTTTTTTGGCTCCCAAGGACAGCGTTATATCGAGGTAGAGGTGTATATCTTAGTATTCAGTAAAAGTGCAAACAAGTTTGTAATGACTTAAAAGACATTGAGTTGCAAAAATTGCATTAATAAAATTATATCAATATTGAGGTCTCTCCTACACATTGTGTTAGGCCTTGAATTCTGTGATGGGGTTGATGTCAGGCTGTGAAGAGCCTACACTGAAGGACTCCACACACCCATGCACAGTGTGAAGCAGTAGCCCTGACTGTCTTTTTTTTTTTTTTTTTTTTTAATACAA